CTTTATTGTTGACATTAAAGTGAATTCAGTTTCAGTACTGCATTTGCTTTAGAGCAGTGTTTCCCAAACTTGACAATTTTAAGGCATGTGGACTTCAACTCCCAGAATTCCACAGCCAGCGTTGCTGGCTGTGGAATTCTGGGAGTTGAAGTCCTCATGCCTTAAAATTGTCAAGTTTGGGAAACACTGCTTTAGAGAGTCAGTTTGGTGTGTTGGTTTGCTAGAAACCAGGCAAGTGTGCGTTCTAGTCCCTCTAAAGGCAATATTAGGGACAGCACAATGGTGAATAGAATGTGAAGGACGTCTATATATAATGTATGTTTTTACTTGTGTAGTGTGCACTGTGGACAGCACTTAATTTCGTTGTGAGGTACACAAGGACAATAAAGATACATTCTATTCTTAGGCACAAAGCAAATGGGTCCCTCACTCACTTGGGTCCCTCAGTCTTTCTCAGCTCTAAGAAGCAGGCAATGCAAACCACGTCTGAAATCTTGCCAAGCAAACTGCAGGGACTTGTTCAGGCAGTCCCCAGGGATCATCACTGACTCAAAGACATACAAACCCACTGCTTTTAAAGGCAGAAGCCCCCAGATGATCCGAAGCAACAGCAGGGAATGTAGCAGACCATTCAATGTCCAGAGAAGGCCTATTCTATCCCCATCCCAGCATCCACTCTGACAGTAAAATAAATAGAATAGAATAGAGCTGGAAGGGATCTTGGAGGTCTTCTTGTCCGGCCCACTGCTCAAGCAGGAGAACCTATACCATCTCAGACAGGTGAATGTCCAGTCTCTTCTTAAAAATCTCCAGTAATGGAGCGCCCATGATCCTTGGGGGTAAGCTGTTCCACTGGTTGATTGTCCTCACTGTCAGGAGGGTTCGCCTCAGTTCCAGGTTGCTTCTCTCTTTGATCAGTTTCCAGGCAGTTTCTCATCCTTCCATCTGGTGCTTTAGCGAACAACCTGGCCCCTTCTGCCTTGTGGCAGCCCCTCAGATACTGGAACACTGCTATCCTGTTTCCCCTATTTCTTCTTTTCTTTAGACTAGCCAAACCCAAGTCCCGTAGCTGTTCTTTGTATGTTTTAGTCTCCAGGCCCCTGGAGACTAAATCTAAATTTAATCTGATGGTACCTTTCTCGGACCTTTGAAATAATGGGCAGAAGCTGACATAAAATCACATAGCACAAATGCTTAGCATGACTATGCATTAGCATTAATAAATAGATGTTAGCATTTTAAAAGAAAAAAAAACACAAAATAATAATAATGCCTTTTTAAAGGTTTTAACAAGAACAAAGGAAATTGGATTGTAGGAGTCTCTATTATTTTTTCCCTTCATTTTAATGTTAGGTACTATACAATGATATTTAAAAAAAATAACAACATTGTTCAGTTTTAACATTCACTCTAATTAAATAAATCTTAGTTCTTCTAATCCCATGATATGGACGTACAAAAATGTTAAAAATAAGACCTTCTATGGTAAAGGAGAGTTTCAGTAGGTTTTGGCTTTATTTCCTGAAGGAGAGTTTTGGAAAGTTCTCAAGCATTTATATAAAGCAATCCATTAATTTTTGACCTCCCCCCTCCCCTCACTGTTCTCAAACTCAAGCCATATGTTCCTAGTCAAGCAGTAAGAACTGCAGAATGAAGCTCAGCCTTGCCTGAAACGTGGAAAAGGGACACTTGCCAGTCAAAAGGATTTGCAGAAATAGACAAGTACCCAGCTCTGACACTAAGGGATCATTTTTCAGATCAAAATCTCATCAAATCTTGGCAACTGTTGGGAAGATAATAATCTCTAGCTGATACACTTTACACAAAATGAACTCTGTTAGGAGAAATGAATAGCAGATAAGCAGTCAATTTGATGAGGATATTGAGAGCTTAATTTGAACCAGCTAAAAGCCCTGGAATGGACAAACCTAAAGCCAACTTCATGCTTCTTTGACATGTTGGCCTTCTTGTGTGAGTCATTCCTCTTTTGCAGAAAGATTACATCCACAACTCTGCAAAAAGATGACAGCAGAACACTGTACATCTGGGGAGAAAGGCAATTAGCATCAATGTTAGCCCTGGTAGGTAGCTCAGGTCAAGACACCACAGGGATTCCAGAAATGCTACTTATTACTGTGGAGTAAATTAGCAGAGAAGAAAACAAATAAATGGAACACCAAACAAATGAGTTCAGAGTTCTTAACTTGAGGCAAAAATGGCCGGGTTCAAATTAATCATACTTTGTTTTGATACATTTTACAAAGACCTAGTTCTCTTAGACAAATCTATATTGCTAGGAAAGTGGAAGGGAAGAGAAGGACATAATGACCAGCAGTAAAATGGGTAGAATCAGTTACAGCGTCAAAGGTTCTATCATTGGATTTGAAGGACAAAACCTGGGGACACAGCATCCTAGAGAAAATGTATCTGTTGCCAAGAGTTGACATTGACTTGATGACATATGATCGATCAATCAATCCATCAATCACAGTAACAGAATTTTGAAAACCTGTCTCAAATCTTCTGTACAGGTAAGCCTCAACTAAAAAAGTGACTTACAACCAGTCCTCAGAGTTATAATTGTCACAGCATCCCCACGGTCATGTGATCAAAATTTGGGTGCCTGACAACTGGCAAGCATTTACAACAGTTGCAGAGTCCCAAGCTCACATGATCACCATTTATGATCATCGCAGGGGCTTCTGACAAACAAAGCCAATGGGGGAAGCCAGATTCTCTTAATGACCACACGATTCATTTAACCACAGCAAAAAAGATTGCAAAATTGAATGTGACTCACTTAGAACTGCATCACTTAGTGATGGAAGTTCTTGTCCTGATTGGGATGATAAATCAAGGATTACTTTATCTGTTTTTAAAAGGCAACACAATTAAGGCAGAGGTGTTCTGAGTCTCTTTTGTCACACTTTCTACTCTCTCTGGATTGAGCAACCATTTCCCTTCTCCCTCCTACTCCATGAGACCAAAGTTAAATTCTTCTATAATTAAGACTTGGCAATAGGAATGTCAGTCTATCAATCTGAGAGGACTACTTGACTTCAGAGGATGGAATTTAGAGGGGGAGTATTGCCCCCTCTTCAAAAGCCCTTCTCCCCTCCACACACACACACACACACACACACACACACACACTTGGAGCAGCTTCTGTTATGCACCCAACTTGGCAGCCAGATCATCATATTCACTAAGAGACTGCTTAACAGCGTGTGGCCTGGCACATGAAAAACAAAGAAAAAATAACTTGGATATGGCTAGTCTAGTGAAAAGAAGGACTAGGGGAGACATGATAGAAGTGTTCCAGTACTTGAGGGGCTGCCACAGAGATGAGGGAGTCAGCCTATTCTCCAAAGTACCAGAAGGCAAGACAAGAAGCAATGATGGAAACTAATCAAGGAGAGTAGCAACCTAGCACTAAGGAGAAATTTCTTAACGATGAGAACAATTAACCAGTGGAACGACTTGCCTCCAGAAGTTGTGGGTGCTCCATCGCTGGAGGTTTTTAAGAAGAGATTGGACAGCTGATGTCTGTGGAAAGTCTCAGTCATCCAGGTCATAGTTGTCTCAAAATTTGACTGAAATGATATAGGGCAGTGATGGCGAACCTTTTAGAGACCAAGTGCCCCAAAACCACCCCCACCTCCCCTCCCACCCCCACTCTGCACCCAGCCCACCTGCATGGCCACCCACCACCTCCACGGCCCACCGCAGCAGATCGCCCAGGCAGCCGAGCAGCACCATGGCAGCCAAACCTCCGCCCATGCCCCGCAGCATCATCTGCGTGTGACAAGGTGCAAGGGCAGAGTCTTGTCCCCGCTGCCTGGCTGCCATGCCCTTGGCTGTTGTGCTCTGCGTGGACCGTGCTGGGGGCAACTCTCCTCCGAGGGGACTGCTGGTGAGGAGGAGGGGGCCATGGGGGGAAGTGGGGCTGGGGCGATGGTGCACGTGCCCACAGAGAGGGCTCTGAGTGCCACCTCTGGCACACATGCCATAGGTTCGCCATGATTGATATAGGGTCTCCTGCTTGAGCAGGACCAAAAGACCTTCAAGGTCCTTTCCAACTCTTGTTATTCTGTTATGCAAAACCAGAGAAGGATGCTCTCTTCCCTTCATGTCTGGATTTTTCCTTGCATTCATTGTAGGATTCTGCCATCTAGTGGCTCATTGATTTAGCAACAAGATCAAACCAGAAATTTTCATTTTGGAGGTAAACCAAAACCAACATTCAGATAAGCAGAGGAAGAATGCTATGAAAAAGGAACTGGGGAAAAACTATTGTGCTTCTAATATCGTCTTTGTGAGAATAAACCCTTCGTTATTGTTCTTGGCTTTGAAAAGAGATATAGATGAAGTGGTACATGAATATATTTTGAGGTAAAACAGTTTTATCCATCCTAAAAACCTAGAGCAACTGTGGATGTAGTGGTGTCTTTTCAAGAAAAGCTTTTTTTCATCCAAATTGGTTAGTGATGGATCCAGTCAAAGGGAAAAAATAAACCAGTAAGTGTATAGTTTTTAAAGCTTTAATTTAAAAAGAACATTAAGACACTTAAAAATATTAATGATGACTGAAATCTGAACAAATGAAGCACATTTTTAAAAAGCAGGATATCTTCATTAGACCTTACAATGTTTACTGAGTGTGGAGAATAGTAGATTTACACCACTTCCCACTACCATCTCCTGCACCCACACTACAAAGTAACTTTCTCCAAGAATTTCTTTGTGGATTTTTTTTTCTCTTCCTTTAGAAAAAAAATCAAATATTTCACACAGCATTTCATCAGATCAAATGTCAGTACAATTCTGGTAAGCTTCAAGACACAGAAGCACTAAATTTGTATTTAAAAAGGCTAGATCACTCACAAACCCATTATAGTATTGTCATAAGCCTCCAATATGATCTCTCTATTTTCCATGTATCTAATTATAATTTTCAATTGAACTTTATCTTCATCAACACTTCAAGAGATGCCTGGGTATTTAAACAGTGAATAGGCATTATCATCAGATAACAAATTGGGATTTATGTGGCCAAAAACAATACTATTTTTAAAAAAATCCAGTAGCATATAGAAAATTGAATCTCCAACAAAGGGTTCCTAATAAGTTTTTTTTGCCATACTGATTTATCTGCAAGTGTCTGAGTGTGAATGATGCAATCATTAGTAACTAACTTATTTATTCATTATTTGTATATTATAAGCACTTTTATACCATCCACCTAACTTATGACAATTTAGACTAAATATCAAAACCAACAAAAAAAACAATAAAAACAGTACATTTAGAATAGAGAGAGACAGCCATTCTGTTGAACACTAAGAGACCTAACGCCCAAATTCCTGTTCCAAAAATAGTCTTGACTCCTTGTAAAAGTGCTAACCCGGAGCAAGGATATTCCTTAGTACCGTGTTTTCCCAAAAATAAGAACTATCCCGAAAATAAACCCTAGCCTGATTTTTACGTATGTGCCTAATATAAGCGAGCCGCTCTCCAAGGGCTTTGTAGGGGAAGGGGAGCCTGGCCTTCCTCGCTCAGCTCCAGCTGGTGTAGTTTTCTTGGAACTAACATAGCATCCTTCCCTACACAGCGTCCTTCCTTTCCTCCCTTCTTCCAGGAGTGGCAGAAAATGGGGCTACCATTTCCAGAAGAGAGAAGGGAGACATGGGCCAATGCAGGGCATCAAAAAAGTGTGTGGTGGCAATGGAGGGCTAGCAGAGGGATACCAGGGCTGGCGGAGGGAGGTGGCAGGGGAGGCTTGCGCCCCTGGTCATGGCGCAAGCCATGAGAGAGTTGGCGGAGGAGGAGGAGTCGGCAGCTGCCGCCAGAAAGATGATCTATGGGGCAAAGCGGGGGCAGCAGGGACCGAAGAAAGCCCCTCCAGCAGCAGATGCAGCTCCAAAATAGCAGAGGGGGGCCAGGTAAGGCCCATCCTCCATAGTATGGCAGTCCGGCTCGGGAGGGAAGGGAAAGGGAAGAGGTGGAGGGAGGTCACCAAGCGGGGATGGGTTCGGGGGCCCTGAGGTAAGCGGGTGCAGGCCACGTGGGGCAAATCCACCTGCCAAAAAATAAGACATTCCCTGAAAATAAGCCCTAATGAATTTTTTGATGTCAAAAAAATATATAAGACCAGGTCTTATTTTCTGGGAAACATAGTACTACAGCCCATTCCTGAGTCCTAGCACCACCATCCCCTAACCATCCCCTAATCCAGCAGTCCCCAACCTTACCAGCTCTGTGGACCAGCAGTGGTCCAGTTCCCAACAGGTCACAGACTCATAACCGGCTGTGAACCGAGGGTTGTAGACCTCTTCCCTAACCTACCAGCTTGATTTTCCTCCCCCCACCATTACTGACATCCACTTAAGGAAGGAACAGTGCCTGCAACTCCCATCCCCAGCAAGATACCATGAAAAGTCTAACAAGACCAGGAAGGATAAACAGGTAGTTCTTTGTTTAGCAACCACAATTGGGACTGGTAGCCCAATCATCAAGCCAAGAGGTCATTAAGTGAAACTGCAGCTATGGTTTATGATCTTGCTTCACCTTTCCTATCCTTTCCACACCTTTGAAAGTCATAAATGCTAAGATTGGTCATAAAGTTATTTTTTCATCACTGTAGCAACTACAAAAGATCATGAAGATAGTTGCTGAATGTATTACCTGTATAATATAATACTACAAGAATACTTCTTGCATTCCTATCCTTTAAATAAAACCTCCACCAAAAAGACTAGATGTGAATTCTCCCCTTTCTCCAAGAAAGGTGAGGAAGCTCAAAGGATTTTCAGCCTGGCATTCTGGAAACAAGAGATTCATGTGGCTCTTAGAAATTTAGAGACTTCGCCCAAATGAATTCACTAATAATAAATAAATAAATAAATTCACTATTAAATAAATGCTATATTTTAGGGTTTATTTCGTTCCTAAGATTCTCTATATAAGACCTCTACCGTCTTCAGAATAAATTTAGCTAATGATATTCATGAATCTTATTTTTTGTGGGGTTAGTATTCTCCTGTTAAGAATTTGACACAATGTTAGGTCTGTCCTCTGACAGGTCTGAATCCAGAGTAAATGGGATCTGGATAATATGGTTCAACTATGATCCTCTGAAGCTAGGAGAAGTTGGAAAAGAACACAGTAGTGTCAAATAAGGCTGGATTGCCTTTTTCAAGCCTAAAACCAACAGAAGCTCTCTCAAAAAAGCCATCACCATCTCTCGCATCCAAATAATCTCATCTTCTTCACAGACCAAACCAGTCAAGAGGGGCATGAATTCAGCTTAGAAGTCACAGCACTGGTATTACAGGGAATCTTAGCCACTTTGTCAGTTTTCACTAGCTTAGTGAACAGTCAAAAGTCATACTCTCAGTCATCACATTCTATGATATGGGCATCTACTTAAAATCTAATGTTGTAAATGCCCAGCTGGATTCAGCACCTCAATAAAAACTAACTTTTTCCTCCCAATAGTAAAAATCCTATCAGAAGCAGCCACCAACACAAATTTAAGTTTCAATTTTCTTTTGTACAGGATCAGAGATAGATAAAGTAGGGAAATGGATAAATTGGAAAAGGACACTTTTGAGGTTAGAACAAAATAATACCACTAGGATCATTTTTTTGAAAAATTTCTGTGTCTTATATTCCAGCAGAATAAAACTGAAACAATGCAAACTTCCACCCCAGGAAACAATAAAAGTTCGAAACAAGCCTTTTGCTCCCTTGTTCTTCATCCTTGGGCCACATATGTAGGTGAGGTGAAAGATAATGCCTCAAAGTTATCCAATGAGTTGTCAGAGCTGCCAGCCTTCATTCGCAACTATGCTTCACTAGGTGCCAGTCTGTCATGAGCTTTGTGGGAGGAAGCTGGGGGGAAGACAAGGGAAAGGGAAACCAAAAGGGATCTTCATGCTGTCTCAGATATCCCAAGACCGCAGTCATGGGAATGGAATGTAACATCCATCCATCTATCCCGCTGTAGCAAAACATCTTCTTCAAATGTGACTGGAAAATGGGATGATGGGGGGGGGGGTGAGGAGGTTAGGGTTAGCCTCAGATATTTCATGCAGTCTTGCCCATTGGGCCTTGTGTCCATGCCCAATGATGACAAATGACAAGTATAGCACTGCACTTCAGAAGGAACATCTGAAAGGCTGGAAGTGATCCACATATGTATAGAGGCCTTTCCTAAGAAGATATGGCTATGGTGGTCTTTACAGAACGAACATTCAAATTGTAATTCGAAACAATTAAAAAGACTTAAAACCACTTTTTAGTTTAAAATAGTTTTAACTGGCAACGCTGGTGAAATTTTCTACACAATGTAACTGTCTTAGTGGAATCGTCTTAATCCCAACATGAGGGGGAGAGAAAATAATAAATCTCAGTTCTATTTTCCAGTTTCATCATTTCATCTTCAGGAAAGCTCAATCTTGAGAGTCTCCCCATATTTCCGGATTAACTTGTCGTGATTGTGATCAACAGACCATTGTGCTGGGAGATGCTTGGGCTGCATGACATCCAAGAAGTGCTGGCGCCAACGTTTCTCCAGCCCCATGAGAGAATATAAGCCCCCTTGAGCAAAAGACTGGACCACTTTCAGGCCATGTGGCACATAGTTCTCATTAAAAATCCTGAAAAAAAGATGAACAAAGGAAGTGTTTGGGAAAGCACAGGCTTGAAGGATGCCAAACTTTATTTATTTATTTATTCATTCATTTATTCATTCATTCATTTATTTATTTATTTATTCATTTATTCATTCATTCATTCATTCTACCACTTCAAAATGGGCTTTATAGTGTCGAGAACATTATAGACACCAATCCTATTTACTAAGTGGTGAGGAAGTGAAATGAAAGGGAGGAGCATCTCTAATAAAAACACTGAGCATTTTCAGACTTCTGGTTTTGTGTTGCAGCGAGATGGGACGCAGGAAGACAGAGGTCTGCCTTCTGTGCCCGATTTTGCCTTGCTGGGAGCCCTAAAAAGGGCTTAAAGTCACCCCGATAAAGAAGGTGGGGTGCCTTGTCAATCACGGAGAGACGGCGGTCTCTCCGTTCAATCCAAGAAAAGCCCTCTAAACCAGCAGGGGAAAGACTGGCCACCCCTCTGCGGCCGGCCATTGGCTGCTGACAACCAAAGAACAAAAGCTTTCATTAGCACTTGTAAACAGCATGTTTGGACTGGATAAGAATATTGATCCTTTCTTTACTATTTTGCAACTGAATTTCCTGGGAAAGGCTCCCAAGAAGCTTAAAACCTCCAGATGTGAATGGAAGCGGCATTTTAAATTTTTATGGGGGACAGAAATACACAGTAGTGAAGTGAAAGTAATACAAAGCTACAGTTTTGATAAATCTGAGAACTGAGATAATTGCTAAGATTTTCTCTTTGGAAAAAAGATTATTGGGGTGAAATATAAGAAATCAACCCTTTATTTTAAGAGTGGAAAATGGACTTTGAATGACATCTAGTGGTGGATTTGAGTACAGCACTATAACTAGCTCCTTGGCTGCTTGGTGATTTTCAGCTTGGGACAATAGCTGGCAATAAAGGAAAATATTTTGGCATATTTATCATCCTGACCTTCTTGGACTACGAATACCTACTGAGCTTGGACTTTTAATCTCAAGAGCTAGTGGGAGAGAAATAAAAATGTGACTTTTTGAATACATCTGGCTGCAGGGAGGTTGAACATTTTGAATATTTGGAACATTGTGGATTACAACCTGGCCTGACTGATAATTTTCAGGATACTTGAGACAAAGGATTACTTTAAAATATTGCTATTAGGACTGGATTATAAAGGCTATATACAAAGATCAGAAAATTAGAGGAAATTTTGTTCCATTCTTACTGGGACTGGTGATACTAGAGGATTTCTAGGAATGATACCTTAAGAAAAAACAAACACCTTTCAGTAGCAAATACTTTCTATGCTACGGTAAATTCATCAAACAATTGTTGTGTACAAAGAGAACATAAAAATAAACCATAATGAGACTAAAAATAACTTAGATGATGTAAAGGCCCAAATCTTCAAATTGAAGCTACAACTGGAAAGCTCCCAGACAATGACTACAAAGTATGAACAAATAAACCAGAAATCAGAGGGTGAAACAGAAGAAATGGATCTAGAGATGGAGGAGATAGGAGAAGGGAAATATGGACTGTCATACACAAATAAAATACTGCAAGACCTACCTATAACAATGAAAATACAAAAGACCCTTTACTCCTTTCTCCAAAATACACTTGATGACAAGGAAGAAGATTCTGAAAAATGGAACATAGAGCAGGCAGGGGAAATGTCTAGGGAATGTGGATGGGTGGAGTTCCCCCCCCCCCAAAAAAAAATACTCTACCTAAATATTGTCTTTTTCATGCCAAGTAGCTTTCACAAAAATAGAAATTAAATTCTTGGATGATTTAATTGCCTTGGTCTGGAAAGCTGCTTGGCAAAGAAAGAAAGCGAGAGTTAGATTTACAAAACAGAGGATTTGATCTATCAGAGGGGGCACTATCTGTTTAACATACCTGTTTGAATATGATTAAAAGAACCCTTAGATATAATTAGACTTTTATAATATATTATTTACAATTAAAATAGCACTTTTTTTCTTCTTCTTTTGATATGGGAAATTTGAAAATAAGAGGAGGATTGGTATGAATAAATTTTTAGCTATATAAATGTATTAATATTGAGAAAATCATAACTGACAAAGATATTTTAAATATTGATGGGAAATCAAACTTCAATAAGAGCACAAAAAACAGGATATTCTTATGAATTGATATTATTGTTATTTCTATAATATTAGTAAAATATGATGAAGATGTCTATATCTAATTTTGTAAACATCAACAGTAATAAGAATTGTAATTGTTTAATGAGGGGAAAATGGAAAAAATATGGGGAAGAAAGGAAGATCAAGGAAAAAATACTGGATTGAGCAGTACTGAATAGATTTATATTGAAGAAGTTAACGTTATTTATGTGAACCCAGACAACATGTTGTTTACTAAGCTCCAAGATTGTAATTTTTAAAAAATAATAAAACTTATAAAAAAACACTGAGCATGGCAAATCAATTTGATGTTAGATGAAGATGGACAGGATCCTCTAATATGGAACCTTTCAGATATCACAGCAACCGGAAACTTGGAAGTGCAAAACATATATGCTTATCCCAACATGATTTCTTATATAGCTAAATAGCAGGATTCCCACACAAAAGGGAATTGTCAAGAAGATGGAAACCCAAATATTTACAGAAGTACAATAAATAAACAAAAACTTCCAAGAAAGGATTTCCTAGAAGGGAAATCCCCAAACAGCTCAATGAGAACCAAGTGCATTGAGGCTGCCAGAATATCAGATAGCAAGACGAATGGAACAGAATGCCTTCAGAAGAGATTTGGCCACCTGGCTCATTGGCTAGAACCAACCATGTTGCAACTGTTCTTGTCAATAGTTATTAAAATGGAAGGATAGGAGGGTATTACTTTATTGTTTGAAGATCTAAGAGAGAAAGTCAAGTCCACACTTGATACCACTAGCATGATGTCTTTTTTATCTTCTTCAAGATCTGAACCTACTCTTTACTTTAAATTAAGCTTCTCACTTTTCCCTGGGAATTCCACTCATTACTGCAGGCCAAATTCTAGAACAAATTCCCAAGCCAAACCCTGCTCTCCTTCCCACTAGCACTCTCCAAAGTTGGATAATTGGGCCCAGTAAGCAGAAACCTGGAAAACATTGCAAACAAGCAGGCAATAATCATGCATCTTAATCTAAATCTAATCAACCCTTACTCTAAGACATTGTACCTGGTTTCCAGTCCAGCTGCTTCCTGCACCATCTCTGGGGAAACTGTGTCAGATGCAAAGTAATCCCTGATCAGCTGCAACAGCTCTTCCTTCCTGGCAGCAGGCAGGCTATCTGCATTCACAAGTGCTCTAGCTGCTGAACGGACTAATCTGCGGGTGGGATCTTCGAGCAAGCGAACGCCCTCCTCACAACCAATAGGGGCACTGAATTCTTCTGCCAGTTGTTGCTTGAGATGATTATCATAGTAGTTAGAGAGCGCATGACACGCAGTGCAGAGAAGGAGCACATCGTGAGAATTGTGGTCTTTCATCTGGATAGGAAAGTGTTTCCGGTACTCGTGAGGTACAATGTTCTTTCTGTTGAGAAAACAGCAACATTTAAGAGTGGATCACCAATAGTGCCACTGAGCCTGCAGCCACCTTTGTACCATGAGGTCAATCAGGTCCCCTCTTTAGCTGAAGAAGCTGCCACTGAACTCTATAGGGTTCACTTCACAGTATGCAAAGGATTTCACTGTTTTGTTAATTAAAACTCTACTCCAGGGTTTCTCAACTTTATCCACACATCATAAAATCACCAAGGTTGAGAAACACTGTTCTACTCATTTTCTTGTGTTCGGTCAGCATGCATATTTTATTGTCAGCTTTTAATGTTTTTAGTACCTTACTTATTTTAGCTAGAACAAGATGGGAGATACATTGCTTTTCTTTTAATGTAATGGCAGAAGCATGTCATCCTGAAGCTGCCAAATGACCTTACAATGGTCTATTTTGTTTTTGTGTTTCACATTAGCAAAGAGATTTGCATTAATTACTAAATGAAGCTTTGGAGGGCAGAGATGTAAACATTGTTACTTGTGAGCTATTATAAAGCAAATGATGGTTTTAAAAAGGTAGGTTAAAGTAGCAAACTCCCTTGATGCCTGGTGCCATAGGTTCGTTCACTTCCTATTTAAATTTTGATATTCCCCTTTTACTCTTATACAGAAACAAATTTTCATGCCTGCCTTCTGCTGCGGTCTCCAGTTTATAATGCCTCACAGCCACAAATACATGAATTGACACAGCGCAAGCTACCCTTATACCCAACTCAGCTTCATAGTTGCAAACTAGAGTGGTATAGCTGAACGTAGGATGTCGGAGGTCCAGAACATATTAAATGTTCTTCTTGGAAGATGTGAAACAGTGTAGGGTGCTGTGCAACACCTTTAGCATACAAATAGTCTATTGTAACCTACGGGCAGATGGCACAACATTAAGGCAGGGAAGAATATGTTTAAAAGATTATTATGAGTCAGGAGAGAAAATCTCGATGACTACTCTATAGCTATGGAACATGTTACTTTAGAGAGTACTATCATCAGCTTGGCTTTTAATAAAAGCGGTTAAACAAATTGTCTCACAGTGTTCATTATCTTCTTGTACTGTTTTCTATAGTGTCCATTATTCTTAAACCAAGCCAAATCCCAAAATGCTATGGAATTTCTGTAAGCTTGGAATTCATTAAATCAGCCATCCATAGACATATGAACCATATTAATAAATTAATAAACCAGATTTACACATCATTCAAAAGAAACAATAAAACGCCTAGGAAGGGAAAAAAAAGACTACAACACATCCCCTCCAGCAGCCCATATTTAGATAAGCAGTGATCAGGACCAGATAAATAATCAGGCAGAAAATAATACTCTGATCAAGAAATCATCAAAGAGAAAAGTATACCTCCATCAAAATTGGCAGGGAAGTTAATGTATATAAATAGGCAGCAAAACTCCATTCATTTACACTGATGATGTTACTTTGTTGGGTAATAAAATTACTGCAAATAAACAACCAAGCTCAGGGTACACCAAGAACTCCATTGTTCACCTATTAGTTTAATTTATACTTCTTCTTCCCACTAAAAAACAAGTGTTCCAGATAATTAATGATAAAAGCAAACAATTACAAGTAATTAGTACCAATATTTGCATCCCAAAATACATGAAGAGAACACAGCAGTTTGTAAACATACATAGAATTTGTAAACTTTGCCAATATGCAATACACTCCTCATACTATGACACTTTAATACTTATGAAGTTCAGATGTACAAAAGTTGATATTGTATGATCTTGGTTATTTATGGCACATTAAAAATTAGTTGATATTTCAGCCAATGAAATACTCAAAGCTTTATCTATGTATGTTTACAAAGACATCTCTACATGTTCACTGGATTTAATGCTATTCTTATTTCTTAAACACAACATAATGGGGTAGGAAGCTTAAGATCTTTCAGTAGTTTAATCAGCCAGACAGAACTGCTTCTGAACAACTCACCGAATATAAGACTCTTTTTTGCCACACGCAACACACAGATTTTCTTTGACTGCCAAGTAATAATCCACAGTTGATTCAGGGCGTCCAGAAGGCTCAAACTTTAATCTCACAGTAAACGGCTCCACATTTACTAATTCTGAAATAACAACACACACAACCCCCCCCCCAAGAATATTAATGCCTGTTCTCTGATGCTATCAAGGACTGTGATCTTCCAGATGTTGCTGATCTGCAGCATCAAACCCCCTCCCCATTAGCCTACAGGCTAGTGCACTAAGAGTTCTAGTTCATAGCTCCCCAATCCTGCTCCAAATAATGGATAAATAAAAATTAATATATATACCGTATTTTCCAGCGTATAAGACGACTCGGCGTATAAGACGACCCCCGACTTCGAAGAAGATTTGCATGGTTAGAAAGTCGTCTTATATGCCAGAAAATACGGTATTTTCCGGCATATAAGACGACTTGACGTATAAGATGACCCCCAGCTTCGGAGAAGATTTGCATGGTTTAGAAAGTCGTTTTATATGCTGGAAAATACAGTAATTGAACTTCAATGTAAGAGGCGTTGAGGTTTAATGATGTATAAAATTTGCTAATTTTCTGTGGTAACCTCCAACTTTGTAATTCTATCTCTTTTGTCTATCTTAGGTCTATGGAAGATTCAACTGCCCATGTTTCTCCTCTGTTTTTTCAAACAGACTGAGATAAGAAATCCCATTTTAGAGAATGGAAAGAAAAAAGTAGAAGAGCATAGAAGGCAAGTATTAACAGTAGAAACTGTCTCAGTGAATCAAATGGAATGAACATCCTGATTCCATCAAACATGAATACCCATATGTGCTCCTAATATAAATAGCAATAGCACTTAGATTTATGTACAGCTTCATAGTGCTTTACAGCCCTCTCTAAACCGTTTACAGAATCAGCATATTGCCCCCAACAATCTGGGTCCTCCTTTTACCAACCTCAGAAAGATGGAAGGCTGAGTCAACCTTGAGCCCCATCCGGATTGAACTCCAGGTCGTAAACAGAGTTAGCCTCCGATACTGCATTCTAACCATTGTGCCAATGGTTAAAAGCTACATTTGGTTTAAATAACTTTTTAAAACCTAAAAATAATGTCTGATTTTAGGTTTTTTTAAAAAAAAAAAATCAGCCAGGCCAGGAATCTACGTGCTTTACCCTTGCCATCGCAGAATGGGGATGAACCAACATTTCTGTGTTCTAGAAAGCACAGTATATATTAATATTTGCAAAAGCCACCTTGAACTCACATACACAACCTGCTTTTACATCTCAAGACTTACTTTAAGCTGGAAACCATGTAGCTATATCACCTGGCCTAATTTCTCATCCTCTAATTTTTGTATTATTTTGCTTCATGAAGAGTCCTGAAACCCTTGAAAACCAAAATACTTTTATGTCATTTAGTTAGTATTACTAAAGGCATTATCCAACTATGGATTTTGGATTACAGCATAGCTTTTTAGGGCACAACAACAGCAAGCACACGTCTTTCCAAGCTTGTGTTTAGGCCTTTTTGATTCTAAAAAAAAAAAAAACATTCACAAACCTCCAATGCCTTTTTTTTTTAATTAAAAATTTTATAAACTTTTTACAATAAAATACCCCCCTTCCCACCCCATAACCCTCCCCCCTCCTTCCCAGAGCTGAATACAGGGTTAAAGAAACAAAAAAAAACATACAAATTAAATGAACATCAATCCACTATACATACATCCAAAAAATTTAAAGTACTTTAACTCCAATACATAGAAACTACAAATCCAACCATACCCATTTTAAACCATAGATTATTCAAAAGCTAAATAATATTTCCTGATCCCATATTTATTCTGTACAAAATTTACCCATCTTTTCCACACCGAGATATATCTCTCTTGTGAATGGTCTTTCAGATAAGCTGAAATGTTTGCCATTTCTGATAAATAAGAAACTTTAAGAAACCATTCTTCTATGGTAGGCAAGGAATCCTTCTTCCAATATTGCCCAATCAGCAACCTTGCCGCCGTAATAAAATTTAACATTAAGGTAATCTCTTTACCATCACAGTCTACAATAATACCTAACAAAAATAATTGTGGTGTAAATTTTATCCTTCTATTAAAAAAACAGATTCACAAACCTCCAATGCCTTTGTCAAGATACCACTGGGCTTTCTTGCGATCACATGTACATAAAGGCTGCCCATCTGGAGCGTGCAAGAAGCAATTATCATACAAGGGAGATTTTCTGTGTAAACAAAAGAATGCCACAATCGCTATCAGATAAGAATATGGGATTCTTATTAAGTGAATCACTGCGGTTGTTAAATTATTAACATGGTTGTTAGCTGAATCTGGCTTCTCCAAGGACTTTGCTTTGCAAAAGGTAGATCGCATGACCTTGGGACACTGCAACGATCATAAATATGAGTCGGTTGCCAGGCCCCTGAATTTTGATCATGTGACCCTGGGGAAGCTGCAGTGTGAACAACGGTCACAAGTCATTTTTTTCAGTACCGCTGTAACTTTGAACGGTCACTAAACAAACTGTTGTTAAGTCGAGGACCACCTGTACAACTGTTAAAAATGTTAAATAACTGCCTCCTCAGTACTGTTCCTTGGCATTTACCATTGATTTTAACTAAACATACTCCTAAGAAAAGTCTTAAAACTATGCACATTTTATAGGGAGTAAGATCCACAAAATTTTTAAATAAAGGCATATAATTCAATGAGAGCCAGTGCAGTGTAATGGTTAAGGTGCTGGACTAGAAGCAGGGGTACCCAGCTTGTAGTCCTTAAGCATGAAAGCCAGTTGGGTGATTTGGGCTATTCACCCTCTATTAGCCCTGTTCTGGGGAAAAAGAAGTATATATATTAACTCCCACCGAAACAATGCGATCAATTAGATGAACCTTTCACACTTGATAAGAGTCTGAGCAATAAGAACAAATGTCTGCCTAATTATCTAGAGCAAAGAAAATAACTCTCATTAGAGTTCACTATCACATCCACATTCAAGGAACCCTTGTCATGATTCTCTGGTGTCCCACAAAGCAGAAAACCAACTCTGAGTTCATGTAGTATTTGGCCAAGAAGAGGAAAATAGTTTCTAAAGCACTATATACATAATCTCTGGGTTTAGGCATGCGTTTTCAATGGGAATCTTCACAAAAGACTTAATCTAAACCAGTGTTTCCCAAACTTGACAATTTTAAGGCATGAGGACTTCAACTCCCAGAATTCCACAGCCAGCAACGCTGGCTGTGGAATTCTGGGAGTTGAAGTCCACATGCCTTAAAATTGTCAAGTTTGGGAAACACTGATCTAAACTAATCTAACTTTTATTAAGATCAAAGACCAGCATAAGGAGGATAAGATGGAAGAAATTAAAAGGCATAAAATACCACAAAATAAAATTACATATAAAAAGTTAAAAAACATAAAAAGAAAAGAAAAGATTGGCCAGCAATCAAAGCTATGCCGAAAGAGAAAAAAAATCTTCAACATTTTGATGAAAAAGTACACAAGGAACATTCACCTTGCAGAATATCCTACACCCAGAGGCTTCCGTTTGTGCTTCCGAGGATCCTTCACCTGCTGGTTGATTGGGGAGGATTCATTAGATGGAAGTTTCTCATACTGTGAGCTGTGTTCCACATTTCCTGGGTTTTCATCATCACCAAAGCTATTATTTTTTCGCCTGAAGGGTACATCCACCAAACCCTGACATTTCTTCAGGACTTTTTCCCAAGCAGGAAGAACATATCCATCACCTGACGAACAAGGGGGGCAGGAAAGGTTCACCAGGTGGAGGAATAAAGCCATTGACACCTGTGCATCTCGGGCAGCATAATCAATCTGAGGAAGAAAACCAAGAGGCATGCCTTAACTTATTTATCAGCATCTCGAATATCCAAGAACACCCAAGGTGAATTCTCCCCAATAACAAACAGAATGAAGAATAGTTGGTAAATAAAAAGTTCTTCCTTATGCTGTTAACCATAGGCCAAAATTACCTCACTAGCCATCTTCTAGGCCAAGCCCTCATGATGTCTGTTTATTTGTTTGTTTTTTATCACATTTCTAGATTGCCCATCTCCTTCAAGAAGGACTCTGGGTAATATTACTTTTATCTCATTCTCAGACTACTGGAGGTGCAGTATACATCTGAATTTAGCTGTTGCAGTTTAGAAGCAGCATTCTCCGCTTTTCCTGGCACAGAACTTACCATAAAAATATATAGATTGCCTGCTTTTCCAGACAAAACCGTATACACATGCCTGTCTACAGATTAGTGAGTTGAGAGCCAGGTTCTGGCAGATGATCTAGCCATCTATCAAAATCTGTCTCTCTCCTGTTTCCTGTTTGGTCTACTTGAGAAGCCGACAGTCTTCTTCCTAAGGGACAGGGATTGGTGGTTGTTTTTTTCAATAGCAGCTGATGTCGGGGAATCCATCAAGCACTTCTCCTAAGTTGTGCCAGACTAATCATGTGAGGACAGTCTCAGTTTCTTGTCTTGTTACTGTGACAAAATACAGCTGAGCCATAAGAGCATCAAAGAGGCATCATTAGAAGACTTTTGTGCTGCCTCACTGTCTAGAGGATAAGATAAAATAACCTTTATTGTCATTTTTATACTGTGGGCACAATGGCACACATCAAAAATGAAATTTAGTTGCCCGCTGTCAAAGGAAAACACATACATGACACACATCTAAACATACTATGAACAACATATGTATAGACCCACATCCCTACATATACGTAGCAAATAAATATTAAACATTGTCCATCTTGAATATATAGCGGAAAGAGGAAGCTTGAGAGTTGGCAAGGTTAATGCTGTATAGAATGAAACTCTGGCTGAATCTGGATGTTCTGCTTCGGATACCATGAAGCCTCCTCCCAGAACGTAACGAAAACAGATCGTGAAGAGGATGTGTAGTGTCCTAGATAGCATGAGGAAAAACCTCTTTATTCTATTTAGAAGCATCCCAAAAAGATGTCAATGCCCATGTTCAATGAGACTACAATACAGGCATGACAATCCACATTTGCTCTTCAAGATCTCTTCACAGGAATCTGGCAGCAAAATGGATATAGCAGTGGTTGTTGTCCCCACCACCACCAAAATCAAGATAGAATGGGAATGGGAGCCCAATTTCAGCCCATCTTTTGTTTTGGAGGGAGGGATTAACAATGATAATGGAAGTGGGACAGCAAGAGGCTTCCACTTTTAAAACCTGAAATAAGCCAAAAGCAGCTGATTAAGCTCCACTTCTTTCAGTAAAGTCACCAAGTCATTGAATTAATTCTTGATCCACCTAACCCTAAAACAGAAAAGGGCTATAATAATTTTATCTATACACAAGGAATGGTTGCTGGAATTGGGTATGTCTGGTTTAATGAAGAGAAGGACGAGGGGGGGCATGATAGCAGTATTCCAATATCTCAGGGGCTGCCACAAAGAAGAGGAAGTCAGGCTATTTTCCAAAGTACCTGAAGGCAGGACAAGAAGCAACGGATGGAAACTAATCAAGGAAAGAAGCACCTTAGAACTAAGGAGAAACTTCCTGACAGTTAGAACAATTAATCAATGGAACAACCTGCCTCCAGAAGTGGTGAATGCTCCAACACTGGAAGTTTTTAAGAAGAGACTGGACAGCCATTTGTCTGAAATGGTATAGGGTTTTCTGCCTGGGCAGGGGGTTGGACTAGATGACTTCCAAGGTCCCTTCCAACTTTATGATGATGGTGTTATTTCCTATATTCAAAAGTTTCCCATTTTTGGAAACTTGTATTCCTTCCACTCCTTCCATTGGGAGAAAAGAGGGGTCTGACTGCCAAAATGAAGGACCAGATAACACCATGAATTGCCTTCATTGAAAGCTGCTATTAAAAAGCTTACAAAGACAACAAACCTGTTCTTGAGTTAACTGTTCCGCTTCCCAATTGCTGCAGCACAAGTGTAGAGATTTATCAAGGGAATATTGGAGAAGCTTTTCAGCAAGAGACTTCAGGCTGAGCCCATTTGTGGAGAAGGTCTTACTTCAGGATTGTACATGGAAGAAAAAAATGCCCTTTATCCATCCAACAAATGCTTAGGAACCAAATCATCACTATTTATGTGTGTGTGTGTGAATATGTGTCTGTTTCTCTGTCTGTTAATTTGGAGATTTGGTATTTAAATTATCAGCAGCAGGTTAACTTTTCTTGAATTCTTTTCATAACTGCATCCATTTACCTAACAATAGGAGAAAACTTTATGTTTGTACAGCATGCTTAACAGGGGCACAAGTGGAATTAAGTGAATGTTTTAAGGTGAGCAATTAGGGGGCCAGGAAAGCAGGGGGCCAACAGAGAAAGGTAGGTAGAATGAGTGAGATTTATAAATTTGTGTGGAATTCTAGTTTTCAGCACAGCTGCTTTTCTTTCCTTTTTCTGATCAATATGGAACATAATGAAGATTTGCTAATATCCTTTTGGAAAAAAGGACTCTTGTGACACCAAGTATTCCTGGATTAAAATCAACAGGGATACTATATTCCCCAAATTGAAGATAGTTGACATATGACTGTAATTGTATGCTGACAAACTAGCAACCAATAGACGTAACTAGGTGAATAATTGATTGGGAAAAACATATTGTATAAACAGGGCCCACATGCATCTCAAAATTTAAAATAAATAAAGTACAGTTAACAATGAAACATTGCCAATACCCCATTACTTACTGCATTTAGTATTCTAGAGAACGAAAAGCTCTAAAATTATGTTAAATTATAACCTCTCAAGTAACAAAACATTTGGAATATTCAGAAACATAATTATGATGAAACCTCAATTTAATAGATTTTGGGTGTGATGGACAAAATTTTCATCTGGTCACCCTACCATAATAAGAGACATATCCATTGTGTCTGTGGATGAGGGACTTTTAAAATATCAAACCAAAAAACTCTATTGTATTTCCCTCATTCAGTTATTTACATAATTTGTATGATAATACTATGTAGATTAAGTCATTTGCATGAAATTATGTTGTTTAAGCAAATGTCAGATGACACAAATGATATAATTTGTTACATTTGCATAATAATGTCACTATGCCCCAATGATATAGTTTGCAATATTATTGCCATTCAGGAATAACATCCAACACTTCCACCACAAATGGTCTGTTAAACCAAGGTTACCTCTCAAAGAAACAAACTGATTCAAAGATACATACCTATGTCTTAGGGCCAGATAGCGGAGGTCCACAGTCCCTTTGACTGTTACACTATAGTCATGAAACAGCTTACTGGCATCTTCCCAACATCCTACCCCAACTTTTAGGATTTTGCCATCTGCCAGAACTTCAAGCAAAGTCTTTGGAAGAACTTGTCCCCCATTGGTCAGCTGGGGCAAACGAAGAAGAAGGCAAAGTCCATTACAAGTAGCCAATTGTAAGAGAGAAACAGGCTTGGCCTTTTTTCCTTTCACTGAGACCTAGGAATTCAGATGAAAAAAATGATGGCAAGAAAAGCAACTGGGCAATCTAGACTATGTCAAATCCACAGACAACTCTGTGTATTTTTAGTAATACCAAGTATACAGGCTGATTCTGATACCTAAATCTGTAAAACAGTCACTATGTAATCCAGTAACCATTCTGCTGAATGTAGAATTTACGTAATTAGTTGTTCATCTTATAGAATCTCAGAAGAACTCTCATCTCCAGATTGTGATACCATAAATAAGCCAAGAATATTAGGTCTATGCATTTCAGATCAAGATCTAGCAGTTCCCAATTGTGTTGAAGGAGGACTGCAAATCCAGATTATTTAACTTGGGTACAGAATAGGTTTTTCAGTTGGTTAGTAACACCAGATTTATCTAATATATGGTGAGTTTTTTCTGCCAAAATAGCAAGCAAGAGAGAAATCATTTTACAGCAGCAATAGAAAATACATTAGAAAAACAACAAATAGATGGAAGGACAGTGTGGATGCCTGTGAAGTTTAGCTATGGGCAGTGATTTAAGAAGAACTGATCACTTGGTGTCTTTTAACCCTTTGTGCAGCCCATTCAGAGCTTCTTTCTTCTCTGTCTCTCTTTCCATCTCCAATTATCTTTTCCCTTTGCGAAGGAAGGAAGGAAGGAAGGAAGGAAGGAAGGAAGGAAGGAAGGAAGGAAGGAAGGAAGGAAGGAAGGAAGGAAGGAAGGAAGGAAGGAAGGAAGGAAGGAAGGAAGGAAGGATTGTGAGAATGGCCTATGAATCAGAGGAATAATTAGTATATTGTACAGAAGCTCAAGTATTATAAGGGTACAGTCTTGTTACTGAAACTAAATCTGGTTCTGAACAGATTTATGTAAATAGCATATGTAAGCCTCTTGAGCTATATGAGAAGAAGATACAAAAACTACTAGTGTATTAAAAATAAATCAGTAGGACAAGACTAAAAGCAATATGTAAAAGCTGCTCAAATAGGCTACGCTTTTTTGCATCCCATATTCTTTACAATCAGTATTTTTCTGTAAACATTTAGGTAGATCTGGAAATCCCAGAGTCAGCAACCCCTCCCATATCATACTTTTGAGTGAGGATGGTCCAGTTTTGTCTACAAAAGGATTCACTCTTCAGGAAAGGAGTTCATTACTAGTAAACAGGGTGATATAAATTCACATTTGGGCAATATTGTTCCATGTAGAATTTGTATAAAGTACCTAAACTGCCATATGAATGGATGTCAATCCAAAACCGATGTGAGGATAAAAAAGCATTTGTTTATGACTACTACCTGTAAAAAGATAGTGGTTACTACGACATGGAAAGAGTATCCAAACCAGCCTCCAAAGTTAGGCTCCAGCAGAAATATTTAGTGCTGATAGGGAAACTCTTCATAAGACCAAGCAAACCATGTTATCATAGACTCACCTAACGTGTCATGGGAGTATATGGTATTCAAGCCAGCCCTCAGTCTTAGCTTATAAAGCCTACGTAAAGAAGTTTATTAATAACCTCTACCTTTAGCTTGTGAAACAGATTTTTCAATAGATTCTAAGACTTACCCACTCACAATCAATTCCAAGGACTAGACAACATTCCAACTCTTTCATTAATATGGGTTCCACTTCATTCCACTTCTCTACCTCAGAAACAATTATTACTTTTGCCTCAAGGATCTCCTCCAGCCAACAAATTGTAGGAGAAGGTAAAGATGAACGAAAAATGTCTTCTGAGATATCTTTCTTTTCTCGTTCCTTAACATTTTGTCCTTGGTTAGGTGTAATGCAAGTGTTATGTTTTCGACGTTGGATGACCTTCCAGACAGCTAGACCTCCTGCTGCAATGCCAAACAGGGTAGCCACAGTAACAGTGACTGCTGTTGGTCTGGGCATGTTTTCATCTTCCTTTCTACTCCATCTTTGCAAAAATGGCAATACGCAGTGATCTAATAACATGGAATAACACTGATTAAAAATAAAGCAAAATTGTGGAGAAAAATTAGTAAGCCTGAAGAACCCATTCACCTGAAATACGTTCTCCTAAGTTTCTGTCTATGTTATGCTAAAGTATGTTTTATTCCAGGGGTATCAAACTGCCGGATGCGTCACGTGGAAGCCACGCCCACCCCATTGCTGGCAATGGCAAAACAGTCCCGATATGTTGCGCGACGTCACATGACGTCACAAGTTTGACATGTCTGTTTTATTCAATAAATTAAGCCAAACTAAACAAGCAACATTAACAAATTATCAGGTGTAGCTCAAACATTGGGACATTTCTGAATACAAACAGGAAAAAATAAATTATAAATTGATCTCCTTCAGGCAGGCTTCAAATGCCACACAGAGTTTGGAGAAATGCATGTTCAGATCATGACAAAGAGGTAAATTAATAGATGTATCTTAGAAATGTTGGTGAACGAAGTGAACAGAGGGAAGCCACTTAGACCCTAATTATTAAAAGTTACTCAGGATCTAATGTGAAATATGAATGTTACCAAATTGACTGGAAATAGTGGTAATAATATTATTCAATGTAATGCATATGAAGATGTAAAATTTGACACTATGCAATGTCAAAAAGCCCAAAGAGGAAAGATTTCCTTCAAAAAATAAATATCTTGCCCAAAGGAGAGAAAAAAAGAAATTCAAGCATTCAGAAGAAAAATACAGCCACCTAAGAAAAAGACTATCAGATCCAGGAAATGCAAATTCCTGCCATCTTCCTGTCAGCCTTACCAGGTAGACCAGACAGGAAACACAGCCAGATGAGCTAATTCTACTTTATTGTAAGGCTACATTAAAATAATCTTGCAAGTCTGAAAGTACAAGTCTCCCACTGTCTTCTTTATAGCTCAAGAAACTTGAAAAAGTCACTTCTGAACCTTTTGCCCCATTAACCAGCTGCATACTATACCCTTTCTTATTTGACCATTCCCTAAGCAGCATCTTTTCTCTCTGACTCCTAATGTTTTTCCCCAAGTACACTTCCTCATTGACTTTGTGGGAAGCCAGCAAGAAGTCACAAGTCATGGTCACATGAGGTCCTCAGTTAATGACCTGCAATCCTCACTTAATACAGCAAGAGAAACTGCTGGGATTGCCATCACTAAATGATGTGGTCACGTAGCACTGTGTTTTACCACTGCAACATTTAGTGACAAAATTCTGGTCCCGATTGCCATTCTATCCCAAATTATACCTGTAACAACCATCTCAACAACAAAAAAAAAGAGGTTGGGGATTGGGCACAAATTGTCCAAACCTGTTGCATCTAGTAATGGCTTTTTAAGAGGGAACAGACTACTGCTTCTTTCAGACGTGGAAAAACCACCCTGTCCGTCAAGACATAATTTATCACCATAGGGAACCAATTACCTATAATCTCCTTGGGAGGCCTTGACCAATCAGAAGGGATAGACCTATGGACTAGCATATAGTGGAAGCCCACAGACACAACACAGCTAGAATAATTGTTTTAATAAAGACAAAAAAGAAACCACATACACAAGTTTCTACGTCCTTCAGAACACAGCAGTCTAAGCCAATATACAGAGATTTAAGTTTGAGACATTTCTTCCCACCTTTCTAAGTCAAAGAATATTTGCTTGGTCTTTTCAAACCTTTGTAAACATTTTCTATGTAACAGTCCTCTCTTAACAGTCCTCTCTAGAAAGAGAGGACTGCTTCGTCTCATCAGTTTTAGTCCTTATAATACTAAAAAAGATAAGGAGATTATAAAGAAGATGAAGATGATTATTGTTATGGGGAAAATAGGGGGAGGAAGGAGCAATGTGTGTGTTTGCCACCTTGAGTTATTTATAAAAATAATAAAGGCAGGATATAAATAAATATATAATCATACACAAATAATCATGAGTTCTTTGCATTTCAGAAATTGTAGGGTAGACAAGCAGTGTGTGATTAACATTTTCAGGCAGAGAATATGAGTTAGTGATTTAAAAAATAACTAGTATTTGCCAAGAATATAGCAATGTGAAATCTTAAAACAATGTTTTGCAACTTTTCTTTAAGATTCACTCTAGCCCCAGGGAAGGAGAAAGAGGCCAATGTAGTTCCCATTCTTAAAATAAAATCCTGCTGGGATTCAGAAAATTATACCTAATTAATTTCAGTTCTGTACAAATTATACAAAGTATGATTAATATAACATTTTCCAGTGCTTACATTTCAGCCCTTTTGAGGTAGGCCAAGTCAGGAAATAGACTCCAAAAGAATGACAGGAACTTTATTTTATTGATATAAGCAGTAATAATAAAATCTTGAAAGCCTGACTGTATTTTCCCTTCCTTTCCTCTTCCACCCCAGCAAGTTAAGGCAAAACCAGTCCAAATTTCTTTCTAATTTTTTTTTCCCATTTTCTGGGCTTAACATATGTTTATAATGGTTTCCACAGTTTCTCCAAGCTCATCTTTTTGCTTCTCTGCACCAGGACCAGTTTTGTTGAAGAGGAGTCAATACAGAAAGTTTCCGCATTATAAGACTAAATTTCATAATCTCCAAAAGTGTCAACGCACATAAATGGTCAGATGAATCCATTTAATATCAACAAGTAACTGTGTCTTATATACCCAAGAGAGAAAAATGAATACCTATTATAAAATCCAAATTGGTGATATTTTTATTATATAATGTGAGAAGATGTGCAAATTTTCAAGCTCTTCAGAACTGTTTTGATTTATGAAGAACAAGAAGTATAGAAGAAATTCACAAAATTAAGCTATTTCAAGCTACGAAGTCTGTCATCTCAACCAATATGACTGGACTTTCAGAATACTTTTGACAAAACTCATTAAAAATTCCTAAGCAAATTTAGAAATTATGAAATAAGAGAAAAAGATTGTCTTCTAGATTGTTTGCCAAATAAGATACAGAAAAGAGAGAACAAAAATAAAACAACAGTCCTCATATTAGAAGGAAACAAGACATTATATTGTTAACCATGTTCATGGACACCAGTGCTTTAAAAAAAATTTCTACATGTGATTTTGAATTGGGAGCTGGATGGCCAAGTGTATTCATGAAGGGATCTTCTCCAAATTACAGAAATGAACTGAACATGCAATTCAATATAAGATGTGAAATATTACAGATTGGGGCAAAACTCTCAGAAAGAAGTCTTGTTAAGGGATAGGATAGGCAGTAATAATTTGTTGCTGATCACATTTTCTGTTTCAGTGGATTTATTCCTCAACTGCACTAACATATAAACAGAATAACTTAAACTTTTTAGTGGTACAAGTACAGTAAAATATACTGTCCCCTTAAATATTACTTTTCTTCATACCAGGAAAATGGCATATCATTTATAACTGAGGAAACATTCATCAAGCTTTCTGCCACACCTAACTGCTTTCTCAAAACCCTATAACCTAGAACTAAGGAGAAACTTCCTGACAGTGAGAACAATTAATCAGTGGAACAGCCTGCCTCTAGAAGCAGTAAATGCTCCAACACTGGAAGTTTTTAAGAAGAGACTGGACAGCCACTTGTCCAAAATGGTGTAGGGTTTCCTGCCCGAGCAGGGGGTTGGACTAGATGACCTCCAAGGTCCCTTCCAACTTTACTACTATTATTATTACTATAAATAAAAAAATAAGAAGAAAACTGGCATACTGCAAACAACCCCAGCTTCTGGCATTATTTACAGCACTGCCTTTCGATCCATGCTGGTAAGAATTCTGGGAATTTCAAGCCCAACACAAATAGAGACTGACATAGGATTTGATGCAATTGTGACACATAGTCAAAGCTCTCAGTAATCTTGTTTTAAATTCATAGATTGGACTGAAATGTGCAACAACATTTGTACACAATGTGTGAGCTATGCCGATGCCTGAAAGAGAGATTACCAACACTTTTATATGTGCCTTTTTATGGTTTTACAGGAAAGGTAAGTGTAATAAACACACTTTGCAAACATTTTTTTCAGCTCCCATTTTTGTGCAGGTTCAATAAGCAAAAAGTGAATAGTTTCCCTATCCTTCCCATCATTGTATGCAGCAGATTACAACAATTAAGACATACTATCTTTACATTTGTAAACATTTATTTATTCTTGGAATTTTGCTCCATATTTGATCAATATACTTCATCATTAAGTTTTCTTGATATTATTGAGGCATGAGATGACCCATTTAAATGTCAAATATTCAAAATGTACAAGTAAAATAAAGCACAGCAATCTTTGCAACCACTTTTCAGCCTTGATATGTAAATTATTTGGAATTTTAAAATCTATATAAAGGGCAGAATTTTACTTTTAAGGGTTCAGTTCTTACAACACTATCCCTTATAAAGGTAGTCAAATACATTTACACAGCAGATTGACAGTAATAATGAAGATTTTTCACTGGGAGTGACCACAATCCTCCCCCAACTACTGCCTCCAAAATACCGAACAATTTCCATTATCCCCAGCTAGCTTTGTTGAGGAGTTAGCCACATTACGGAACCAAAGCAAAAAGGACTGCTAATAATAACATCTTTGGATGACAAAATGTTCCTGTTTTCCTCAACAGGGAAACACCGCGAGAGATTCCACAAAGAGCAGTTTCTCCATCTTGTAAACTTCACTAGACTAAAGTCCATTATAAATTTGGAAGCTTTATATTATTAACATGTTTAGAAAAAGGCTTCAAGCAGAAAGCAAAAAGACCCAATAACTGCTAAACAGTACTGTATTATAATCACAATCTCGAAGGAGGGGAGACTACCCATACCTAAAGAAAAAGAAATCATACATCCAGCATATTTTGCCTACAGACCTCAAACTAATAATAATCCCCATTCTCCTCTGACGGCGCCTTTATCAATAAAAGGCGCTCACGTGTACGTTACCTGTTTTCGTAGCGAAAGGCAAAAAAAAAAAAAATTTCCTCGGCACAGCAATACTTCCGTGCTCCCCTTTAGAGCGGAACGTACAAGTGTATTGTCATACAAGCGCTCCAGGGCGCTGCCATGTTGTACGGCAATTGTGGCTTAAGTTCGATTTGTTTGGGCTTCTGTTTTCTGAAACGGTGGCCTCTAACGTTGATTAAAATAATCACTCCTGCTACAGTAAAGCTTAAAAAAAAAAACAATAGCCGGTACTGTGTGGCATGTAGCTTTTGGATTTCCTGCGAAGTATCCAAATTGTTTGACAGAGGTGTTGAACTGTTAATTGAAGCAATTAATTAATCTACACCTTATCATCCCTTAATTTACTGGCGACGTGGGAATTTGCTGTGAAAAGGAAAGCTCTTCTTAGTGCTGCCTGATTCTATACATATACATTACATGGACTAGAAGACCTCCAAGGTCCCTTCCAGTTTCTGTTACTGTTACTTTTACTTGTAGGTACACTGAGAGCTTATGCACCGGAAACAAATTCCTTGTGTGTCCAGCCACACTTGGCTAATAAAGAATTGTATTCTATTCTACTCTATTTACTCGGAAACAAATAACATCGAGTTCAAAGCAAAGATTGCAGTGTTGTTTATGCCTGGAGGTGAAGACTCGTCTGCCTCTGAGAGCAACTTGCTTTAGCTTGACCAGAAAATTATGGAGCAAGTTTTTTTTTCCACATTTTCTGGAACATGAATCTGACTCCCAGACTAATTATTAGACTGCATTATTGCTGAGGACAGAATGCCTCCCCTCACCATCTGGTGCTTTCTGAATATGTTTTACTACAATTTCCATAATTCCCAACCAGCAGGGCAAGAGCATGCTCTTCTGTAGGTTATCAGATTGAATAACTTCTAAAACTTCTACTGGACACTTTGAAAATGTGCTACTGTATTTGGTAAGAGTAAGTGTTCAATTAGCTTTACCTGCTGTTGTCCCAGAAAATCATTATAAAGACTACAGGTAGTCCTCGACTTATGACCCCAACTGAGCGCAAAATTTCTGTTCCTAAGTGAGACATTTGTTAAGTGAATTTTGCTCCATGTTACGACCTTTCTTGCCACAATTGTTAAGTGAATCACTGCAGTTAAATTAATAACACGATTATTATAAATGAATCTGGCTTCCCCATTGACTTTGCTTGTCAGAAGGTCGCAAAAAGTGATCACATAACCCTGGGACACTATAAGAGTCATAAATGCTAGTCAATTCCTAAGTGTCTGAATTTTGATCATGTGACCATGGGGATGCTGCAATGGTTGTAAGTGTGAAAAATGGTCATAAGTCACTCTTTTCAGTGCTGTTGTAACTTTGAATGGTCACTAAATGAACTGTTGTAAGTCGAGGACTACCTGTATTCACATGTCCTCGGTTCTAATTTACATGGAAGCTAGGACATGATCACTGAAGTAAAGACAAGGATAGAGAAAGCTTGAACAGCATTCTTCAAAGTGAAAAAGGTTTTCTGCAGTCACGACATAAGCCTAAAATTAAAAATCAGGCTTGTCAGATGTTACATTTTTTCTATCCTGCTCTATGGAGTAGAGAATTGATCTCTGATAGAAGGCCACCTGAAGAGATTAGAAGCATTTGAAATGTGGATTTACAGGCAGCTGTTACATATAAGATAGGTTGACAAGATCAGAAATGAGGAGGTGATAAGCCACCTGGGGAAGCCAAGGGAAATCATCAAAACAATTAAAAAACGAAAGTTAGAATATTTCGGACATGTGACACCCAGAAAAATATGGCATACTCCATTTAATCTTCCAGGGAAAGATTGAAGGCAAATGAGGTCCAGGCAGAAGAAGAACATCGTGCCTTCAAAATCTAAGGGACTGGTTTGGACAAAACTCAGCAGCACTTTTTCGTGTGGCTGCTGATAAAAACAGGACCACCAACATGATCGCCAACGTCTGATATGGATATGGAAGAAGAAGAAGAAGAAGAAGAAGAAGAAGAAGAAGAAGAAGAAGAAGAAGAAGAAGAAGAAGAAGAAGAAGAAGAAGAAGAAGAAGAAGAAGAAGAAGAAGAAGAAGAAGAAGAAGAAGAAGAAGAAGAAGAAGAAGAAGAAGAAGAAGAAGAAGAAGAAGAAGAAGAAGAAGAAGAAGAAGAAGAAGAAGAAGAAGAAGAAGAAGAAGAAGAAGAAGAAGGATCCTCTCCCTTAGGTAAACAAGTTTGTTGGATATCTTTTAATATTTAATTTATATTTATGTACAATTATATAAATTAATAAAATCCCAAGCTATAATAGTTTTGATTTCAATTCTGCATTTTGTACATTGGTAATACCTTATATCTAAAGCTCAAAAGTGCTTTTTACATAGTTCAGAATTTAGTTTCCTAACCTAAGATAGAGAATGAACTATCGTAAGTTATGTTTGCATAATAATTTAGGCTATTATACAATTGGCAAAATTATATGATGTATTAATATGAACACATATTTCAATATTTTGGTATGGTTTGTTTTTGGCTGACTGAATATAATTGTGAGTTTTCTGAATATACATAATAGGATTAATTCCATAAAATATACATAATAGGATTAATTCAATAAATAAATTCAATAGTTCAGCAAATTATGGAATCATGTGTCTGGCACAGCCAAAGGCAGCATGGCTCTGTAACTCTACTAACCCTCTTTCTTGGTTGCTGAATTAAGCCATATTCTGAATTCACATAATACAATGAATCATAATGTCAAACTGAGGTTGCACAACTCACTATGCCAAAAAAAAAAAAAAGAACCGAAGTAAAAATAACCCATGTGATTATGTTGTGTGAAAGGTTAAACATTGCAAATGGTCTGTTTTTTTCTCTTAGATAAAATTGAGGATTAGGTGTCAGGTGTATTAAGCTCTTGATAAAGAATATCTTTCAGAGAGCTGCTGTGGAATCTGTTATCTGAATATATCTGGTGCCATGGGAGGGTGTGTCCCAGGAACATTGCAGTGGTCCTGGAGTATATGAACTGCTCTTTGCCAGTGGCTAGTAGGGTATAAGGCTCATCCACATACTTCCAAGTCAGGTTGTGGTAATGCAAAAGGACCAGGTGCCATCTGTAGGTTTACCCATTCCTATTTCACATTAGATAATGGCATCCTCCTAGGATCTCCCTATTATTTCTGCTATTAATACATCCCACCGTGAACCAAATGAAAAGCCATAAATTTTACTATTATAAACTCACCTATTTGGAAGCTTTATATTAATATCAAACATGTATGCACCATGTACCATGTATTTAAAAAATTGTATATATATCATAGAGTTGTCAAAGCAGATTCTACAGCAATTTAAGTTCCCTTTAAAGACAAACTAAAGACAGAAATATTCCATGAAGTAATGTACATTTTGATGAGGCAGAGTTCTGTACATCTCATGTAAGTTCCACTAAGATAGTCTTTAGCAAGTACAGGCAGACCTCAACTTACAACAGTTCATTTAGTAACCATTCAAAGTTACAACAGCATGAAAAAAAGTGACTTAGAACCGTTTTTCAGTACTTTGCAACATCCCCATGGTCACATCATCAAAATTCAGATGCTTGGCAACTGGTTCATACTTATGACGGACGCAGTGCCCCAGGTAATGTGATCCCCTTTTGTGACCTTCTAACATGCAAAGTCAATGGAGAAGCAGGATTCACTTAATAACTAGGTTACTAACTTATCAACTGCAGTGATTCACTTAATAGCTGTGGCAAGAAATGTCGTAAAATGGTGCCAAAACTCACTGAACAAATGTCTCACTTAACAACAGAAATTTTGGGCTCAATTGTGGTTGTAAGTCAAGGACTACCCACATTGTTTTATTCATTTCTTGGGTACAATATATCTCTTCCCCAGAATCCCTTTTCAAAATATTTAATTGGTATGGAATTATTTCCTAAGATGTCTTTTTAGGAAATGTTAACATTTCAGAATGTGTTTTTTAAAAAAAAACACACAGGAAAAATAGCCTTCTGTCGTTTGGTCGATTCAAACCAAAATGATTAGGTTTCCGTGATATCGTGAGGAATATATAAAATGTCAGCAATAGTCACCAGAGAAAGATTAAAAAACGAATTCGGAAATCTCATCTTCCGGTCAAGAAGTTTTATTGTCCTAGGAAGAATTTTGAAGAAAACTCCAGGAAGTTCCTGAATCTGGTTATGTTTCTTTACGCCTGCTCAACTTCGTAAGTTACTTTAATGGAGATCGCAAAGGAGGAAGGCAGGGCAAACGGCATCTGGCGGCTCGCCGCTTTTTATCCTATCTACCCGTTCTTGTCCCGCCCGAGCGAGATCTATTGGCTTTCCGCTGTGGCAACTCCGTAACATAAGAGTGATGGTGGATTCAACGTCTGTTCGGTCTCCAGCGAAAGCCAAATATACTTCCGCCGATCTTGGATTTTATAGGGAAGGAGTGGTGATGATGATAGCGATGATGGTGGCGAGGGACCACTTAGTCAAGAGCACATCCTCGATCTCCAAAACCACTGGCCCCCCGAGCAACGTTCAGTCCAAGGAAGCAGCCGGCAGAAGAATCGCATCAAGGAAAAGGCTGCAGCTGTGAATCAGCTGCTGTTGCCGCCGCCGCTGTAAGGCAGGGGAGGAGTTTAAAGGGGATCAGGAAGCAACGGAGTGTCTAATACCTCTCCCCTGCTATGGCCGGCTAAAGAAAATCATCATAACCATAACAAGGGAGGGCGGGGAGAAAGCGGAGGGAGGGAGGGAGGGAGGGAGCGAGGGAGCGAGCGAGGGGGGCAAGTGGGGGACCAGCACCAGCACCATGAGACGGCGAGCTGGCCTAGGGGGCAACATGAGGTCAGTCGTGGGCTTCTTGTCCCAGAGGGGCTTGCAGGGAGACCCTCTGCTCACCCAGGACTTTCAGCGGAGGCGCCTGCGAGGCTGTAGAAACCTCTACAAGAAGGATCTGCTGGGGCACTTCGGTTGTGTCAATGCCATTGAATTCTCCAACAATGGAGGCCAATGGCTGGTCTCAGGTAATGCAAGCCCTCCTCTCCCCCCTCCTTCCCCCCTCCGCTCCCCCCCCCCAATTTTATCTCCTTCTTCTCCGTTCCCCTCGCCCCGCATCGCCGAACCCGAC